TGTAATAAAGGAAACACAAATTTGTTTCACATCTCTTATTTATTGCCTATACACCTTATATATTTTATACCTTGCCTATACAGCCACGTTAACTAATATATGTGTGAGACATCTCCCATTTTTACATAAATGTATCAAAATATCAACCAACTACATCTAGCCTCACCATTCAAGAGAAAGTACTAACACAACACATTTACTACTTACGTAAGTTACTGTTAAGTTAAAATAAAATCTTTATACCTAACTGGTGGCTTTACAATACCTGACCTAGTGGTTATATTTTGAACAAATTTATTGTTATTAACATTATGACAGGAACTCTGATCACCTGGAACATTATAAGTGTACATTACATTTGAAGGTTTAATAGTACACGTATTTTTGCTTTTAATTATATGTCTTTGGTTTCTACGTACCATGTTTCCTTCCTCTGTGTTAATTAAAAATAATCGTGGACCACTCTTATCAACCACCTTTCCTGAATTCCAAATTTAACTGGCCTATTTTCTCCCTTATTAAACGAATTTCTGTTAACAGCTGTCTTATCGTAATTACTCTTGGACTTTTCCTTCTTTTTTAACATATCGTTGTAAACATTATTTATAATCTTAGGTTTTTAATAGCTTATAGTACACAGTAATGTGGTACGCCTTCCATACCCTTCAAATATCTGTTGATTAAACTTTTGCAGTACTTCCTGTGCTTATGATATAATGTCTTTATGTCGGACCATAAAATATCCCTAGTATGTTACTTAAAGAACTTACATCAAGGTTAGTAATAATCAGTGCAACTTAATTATATTTGAAACTGGGCTACGCCCTTTACTTGCACTATCCAATGTTTCAGTATAGGACAATCATATCTTCCCGCTATAGCATTTAGAATGCTGTTAGTACTAAGCCTCACGCGACTCATCAGCGAGACAATCTTTTTGCGCATGATGGCCTGGAAGCTGTCCGTGTGAGCCACCGCCAACATACCCGATGCACTACACCACGTTGGCAATCCTATCAGCATTCTAAATGCATTATTATATTGCACGTGCGGGGCGTTAAAGGTTCGTTTCGTATACCTAACCCATAGGCTGGTTGAGTAAAAAGATTGACTATAAGCTTTAAAAATCGTTATTTTAACTTCATAGGAGTGGACATGCCAAATGGCATTCTAATAAGCCTGTAATGGCCAAAATATGGAGTTCCAAACGAACAACATTTATCTGGATCCTTTAATGAGATCTGTAAAAATCCGCCTTTTAAATCCCACACCGTGAATTCCTCCTTGCCTCCCAAGTTACTATATATCTCCTCAGCAGAGGGCACTAGTTATCTCTCACGTACTATATTTTTATTTAAGTCTTTGGGGTCTAAACATAAGCTAAGAGAACCATCTGGTTATTCTACAATAACCAGACGATTATGCGATTGTGTTGGTCCTACAATGGTCCTAACGGTCCAAATGGTCCTAAAATGGTCCACGGAAGAAAAAAACAATGGAAGTACTTTAAGCTTCTATTACTATCAGAACCGATGTCACTAAAACTCAGACATTCTTATTTTAAAACACTACAAAATCTTGAAAATGATTGGTTTTAAGTTGAAAAAGAAATGACCAATTCTGGATTGTTAATATAATGTAAACTTTAAACTATTGGCATATCATAGATCGCATTTGGGGCCTTTATTTTTCATTTTATTTATTAACGACCTGATTGCAAAACTCCATTGCCCCTGTATCTTGTACGCAGATCTAAAAATTTTTAATACGATCACTAATTACAGTGACAGTATCATTCTTCAAAATGACATCGATACTATCGCTCAATGGTCCCAAACAAACCAAATGTACCTGAACGTTGATAAGTGCTTAGTTATAACATTTACCAACAAACGTAATAAAATAATTCATGAGTACACCCTAGAGAGACATGTCCTGCAACGCCGGAAAGTGGTTAGAGACCTCGGTATATTATTTGATGAAAAATTAAGTTTCAGAAATCACTTTCATTGCATGGTTGGCAGGGCCTACCAGACACTGGGCTTTGTGATCCGTGCGGCTTTCAAGAAACCATATAGCTTTATCCATCTTTATAGCTCATTGGTAAGAAGCGTTTTGGAGTATGGTACAGTGATTTGGTCACCTTACTACCCTGTACATTCCAACGGAATTGAGGGTGTGCAGAGGATGGCTCTTAGATCTCTCTTTTATAGATTGGGTCATAGTCGTCGTCAGATGTTTGCCTACGAAACCAGATTATCCCAATGTAATCTGGTATCACTAAGTGTCCGTCGAACAATGCATGATTTAATATATCTCCATAAAATCTTACACTCTCACCTTGACTCTGCTAACTTATTGTCTATATGTATCAATATTAACATTAGATGTAACCTTCGGTGTCCTCGGGCTTTTGTCCTAAATGTTTTTAAAAATAACACGTCATTTTACAATCCCATAACAAAAATGTGCCGCACCTATAATGACTTAATTAAGGATAACATACAGTTACATATATTTAAATCTAAGTGTCATATATTTAAAAAGTCTGTTGCGGGTGTCCTCAAGCAGTCTAGTTGAAGTCTCGCAATTTTATTTTAACACTTTTTCTCTATGGTCTTTTCTTTTGCTCTATTTGTACCAACACAAAATTTGTAATTTATAATTAATTGACAGAAACTTTCAAAACATGCTGTACGTACACGCTCCTGGTTGGCATTCTGGTCCAAATCTAGTTTTAAGCAAATTTATTTGTTAAATCTTTCTTGAATGTCGACTGTTGTGTTCGTCTAATAAATAAATAAATAAATAAATAGAAAGTTCAATACCATCAATTATTGCAAATTATGACGTTTTGATGAATAAATTGAAATTTCAATGAATGTGCTGCCGTCTAGCGGTTAATGCTGAACGACGACGAAATGGAGTTATTGATTTCGATGAACAGAAAATTGAAAATGTGTTAAAATAAAGACTTGTCTATGAGATGAAATACCACGATGGGTAATATTTTTAGTGCGGCTATCAATTTTGCACTTTAAAACAGCACAATAAGGTAGTTATCTACGATTTTAAGGAATTTACGCGAAAACATTGACACAACCATACCGTACATAGCCAAAATGGCGAACTGAGCTCAAGTAGGTCTAACGAGGCCCACTGTTGGCACGCGGGAGATGCTAACTAACCACTTCTATTGTAATTATTTTTCTGTGGTCATACCACCTTCTAAATACAACCAACTTTTTCATAGCGATCCAGTGCAACTTTAAGTTTTGGTTTTATTTTTTCTGGCACACGTCTGATAGGCTTTGCAATCGGCACAGCAGAGTCTCTAAGACTTTTAATTTGTTCCAATTTATCTTATACCGGTACAAATATCTTTATTTTGTTTAATGAAATCTTGTATTTCATTGATTTCACTATTTCACTGATTTAATTGTTTCACTAAGTAATGTATGAACTTTTTGTACCAATCAAATTCAACCTAATACATTCTGCCAACCCTAACACAGGCTGTACTGACATTTCCAGAACAGTGAAACTTACTTTTTGTGGTTTACCTCGCACTAAGCAATTTACCTCAATGAAGCCTTTAGGTTTGATATCTCACCGTTTATGTACCACCAGTATTGTTGAACTGTCTCTAAGAACCAAGTTTCCGATTTGTTTATCGCGCTGAAAATGCTCATCGGAAAGGTCATTCTGCACCCGTATCCAACTTGAACTCCACATTCAATTCAGTCAAAGTCAAAGAATCATTTATTACATAGGTAAAATAAATTTACACTTGAAAACATCACATTTAAGCTACTATTCGTTCACTACGCTGACCTCCCTGCGAAGAACGAGCAAGAAACTCTAGGGATTGCTCTTTCATATAAACTTTTTTTTATAACATCAAATGACGGGACGAACCATATACTAAATCTATGGCACGAACACGCCTGATGGTAAGCTACACGCCTATCCATAACAGTTACAGTGCCACTCAGAGCTTTAAATTGCAAAGGTCTGAGGGCCATTGCCACTGCGCCCGCCACCCTGAGACATAAGTTGACAAGTCCCATGTGCCTGTAATTTCACCAGCACCCTTACCTTTCAAAACCAGAACACAGATGCTATGGATACACTTTCAAATTTATTTGGAATCTAGAGAAATGTCGTCTTTCCATACATCTTTATCTAACACGTAGTCTTTAATTTGTAATATGCCATTTCAATCATAAAAAAATTAATGTAGTTTTTAAACTTAGGAAATGATAATCTTAGTGTATGTTCCGGAATCTTATTGTAAAAAGGTATGTAGAAGCTCAAGTATTATTTATTGATTTTTCTGCCTTTCACCTTGGCTATGGCACCTTGCGTGTACAGCCACTTAAATTAATATATGTATGAGATAATAAAAAAAAATTCACCCATCTACGGCCTGCGGGTACCTATATACTAAATCTATGGTCTGCCCATCGGGTTGCAAAACGTTCCACGTTTCTGTCGTCACATCACTCCATCTGTCACCATCATCTTCCATGTCCTGGACCTTAGTGGAGTTTGTCTACGGATTTCGGAAATCAAAACTCTATAATAATAACGGACACACTCAACATAGCTCCGCATTAGGGAAAACCTGTGTCGCGGGTGCCATGGAATGGCGATTTAAGTTAGATACCGAGCATGACTCATAATGACACGTTCCAGTGCTCCGTGTGCAACTCTCATTCTGCAGTCTTCTGTGTGAGCCGATACAGCGTCCATGTATCGGCACCATAAGTCAATGTAGGCAAAAGACATTGGTTGAACTTATTCAGAGGCTTACCTCTGTTTATTCACTTTTCAGGAAAAAAATGGGTACCTACTATTTTATAGTATTGTTTTTTCTTGAACCCGAATGAATGTTCTACTTATTTATGTATCTAAAATAACTGAAAACAGTATTTCATAATTCACTTTAATAAAATAGAACCAACTATCAATAAATGCACTCAAAGGGCATACGACAGGTAATAAGGAGAAAACTTACAAATATTTAATCTAATATTAATTCAAATTATTTTAAACCATGACATTAAAAAAAATCCTAAATCCTTTTCTAAATACTCAGCTAAATCTAAACTAATAAACTAGACACTATCTAAATATCTAAGCAAAATTTAAAAAATGGGGTTACTAAGTTTTATGTATTTGGCTGAGGGTTTTGGCAGTTCTCGACTTTCTGATGATGCGACCCTTTTGGCTGAGGTTGAGAAAAGAGTCTAGAAAGTAGTTCAAATCACGCAGCTCACTACAATTAGCCGGCAAAGGGTTGCCTTCGATAATAACTTGCGTCAGTCCTCTTGGCGATCTTTCAGGTATCTTTTGATAAGTCAGGATATGAAGCAATTTGCGAATAGCAACTATCGTGAGATCATTGTAGGCCATGTTCAAATAACAAAGGGTATTGTTGCCCGTACAATATTCTATTCCGCACTCTCGAACAATGTTAGTTTTATCATATGGATGCAGGAAATGACCAAGGATGCTTTCAGCAAATGCTCTAGCTTTCTGATGCTCCGGTAGACCGACAGTATCATCCACAATGGTTTTTGTATTATTAGATTTCTTACCTGCTTTCTTTTCTATTTTCAATTCAGCCTTTTTTGGTTGAGAGATCGATTGGTCGATGAAAAGCGTCATTAATTTCACTTTTTGTATGGAATACTGAATGAATGTTTTGTCTCTTAAATCTATTTCCTTGCCCGTCAAAGGAAACTTCAACAGACTCGAAAATATAAATGCTGCTCCGTCATCTGTTATCATATTACTTGCCAAGTTCAGATATTGTAGACATCTGTTGGATCGTAAGGCTTCGCCAATAAACTGGGCACCATTGTCAGTAATGAAGTTACAAGAAAGATTTAAAGCTAGCAACGTCTTACTCGCTGGCAAAGAGTGTTTTAGTTGTAACATTATATTTTCAATAATCTCATCATTTATTGAACATTTTGATAACGATAGGTAGTTTAAGTTGCTCGCTTCTGTTAGCAGTAATTGGTAGTGAGCATTTTTGATATTTAAACGCTCGAAACAAACTTCGGTGATTTGAGACATGACTAGGATTTTAGAGATTTCGTAAATACCATACACATCCAATCCATTGGCAATAGTGATGTTTGTTAAAGTGGGATAAAATTGGATGATGGAGGCGATCATTTTGAAAACCTGTCTTGGTAATGGCTTCCTTCCATAATAATGGATCTGGTTGAGTTGGTGTGAGCAATATCTGGCTTCAAGACAAAAGTTTTCGGGCGCAGTGATTTCTTGTATACTGGTGCTAACAGACATACTCATAGTAGGTGCAAGTAGTTTTGGCGAAGTTTTATGAATGGCCGATTTACTCTTATGCAGTTTAGATTTTAAAAAAGTTTCTGTAAATAAAAATAAGAATTGCAACTGTTTTCGAAATTGAAAAAAAAATACAGGTCAACGTAAGTAATTATAACATCATGTACAATCACATTTAAACAAAATACCGTTGATGAGCTCCAGAGTTTGATTTCCAATAGGACCCATTTAGGAAACGATTTCTAAATTGGTTCTAGTCTGGGTGTTCCGAATAGTGTATGGGAGTGAATCCCGTTGCTCTGATAGTCATAGTACATTGAACTCATATGTTTGAGACCAGGTTATAGGTCTGGCAAATTTATTTTCATGATATCAAGCGATGGCAGGAACAAGTTGTATGCCTGGCGGTAAGTGACTTGCCTGTCCGTAACAGGTGCACTATCGCTCCGAGCTTTAAAATATTTCTTTCAGCTTTCTTTAAGCATTTAAAAGCTTACGTTATGAAGATCTGAGTGGCACTGTTACAGTGCTCTTCACCCTGAGACGTAAGTTGATAAGTGCCTGTAATTTCAACAGTACCCTTACCTTTCAAAACCGAAAAGGATTAATGCTCACAGTACTGCTTGGCGGCAGAAATATACAAGGTGGTAGTGCTTCCCTGGATGAACTGTTACTAAAACTACATTATTATTATTAAGTTCCTTTTGATTGTTCTCAAAATGTACGTATTAGGTCCTTACTTATGAAATTGCCGATTGCAAATACTGGGAAGTTGAAGAAGAAGTAAAGTTTTTTACATAGAGCTTCAAATTCAAATTTTAGATATAACTATATTGAGTTCTTAGGTTTTCGCGATTGTTATACATAGGAATGAAACTATTTTTCCGGATTTAAATCGCGTATATTTGTTTTTTCAAACAGTCAACCGTGACCATGGGACCTGTAAAGGGCCCGAAACGTCGGTTTGTTTGAAAAAACAAATATACGCGATTTAAATCCGGAAAAATAGTTTCATTCCTATATAACTATATTTCTTTAAAAAAATCATTATTCATTTGTTTTTCTGCCGTTCGATTTTATTTTTAAACCGACTTCAAAAACGGAGGAGGTTCTCAATTCGTGTGTATGTTTTTTTTTTGTATGTATGTTACGCGATAACACCGGTATTTGTGAATCGATTTTCATGATTCTTTTTTTGATGGAAAGGGAGTACTTCCATAGTGATCCCATTTCATTTTGAAGACAATCATCCACCTCGAAGGGTGGCTGTTCACGCATGAAGATTCATTTTTCTGAACAGAGCCTAACTTTCAAGGCGTTTTCTCCAATTCAAGGCGTTTTTCTCTCAATATACTTTGAGTAGTGAGAACCGATTTTTATTATTATCTCCAGTGTCAAGTCCTGTATAGTGGCGAACTAGGGGATATTTCAATAAAACTTAGCAAATAGACATAATTCCATGTATTTTTGTGGTCGGTTTTTTTAGTACTCTGTACTGATTATTACTTATCTGTTTCTGTGACCATGGAAAAACCGAAATTGCGTGTAATTTGGAATACGAGTTCTGTCATGTCACCAATGCAGCACAGACGGTACGCAATATCAACGACATGTATGGACCAGGTGGCGCAAGAATAGAGAAGAAGATTCGTTTCATAAATTTTAATCTCAACAATGAACCCCATAGTCCACCGTAGACGTAAGTCGATAACCATGAACTGAAAGCCATAGTTATGAAAGCCATTATTACAAAGGTTGATAAAACTAAGTACCTTGGAGTAGTTCTAGACCAAAATTTGTCATGGTACCTTCATCTAGACTTAGTGTCTAGCAGAATTAGGAAGTCGATATGGATTTTTAAAACACTACGTCACTCTGCAAATAAAGACCTAATAACAAAAATTTACATTGCCTTAGCTCAATCAGTACTAACATACTGCATTCCAATCTGGGGTGGAGCTGTTAAATCAAAATTTATACATTTAGAAAGAGCTCAGAGATCACTACTAAAAGTAATGTATTTCAAACCGTTTAGATATCCCACTGACGACCTCTATACATTTTCTACAGTCCTGACAGTGAGAAAATTATATATACTACTAGTAATTTTGAAATTCCACAGAAGTCTAAGTTATGACCCTTGCGTAATGAAAAAAAGAAGAAGCAATTTTATGATTCCCTACGATAATGTTAAAACAACTTTTGCAGGTAGACAATTTAATAGACGTGCATCTTACCTGTACACTAAAATTATTAAAAATCTCTTAATTTATCCTTTAAAGACCCACGATTGCAAAAAAGTTGTGTATGACTGGCTACAGACCCTAAATTATAACGAGACTGAATCCATTATGGACATCGTACAATAGATTGTTAACACCACACACGCGCCCACACACACACACACACACACACACACACACACACACATTATACACACACAATTTAAAATTTTATTTTATTTTATGTCTTAAATTTTTATTTTATTTTAATTAATCTAGATTAGCTAAGTTACTTAAGCTTACCTAACTTACCTGGTCACATAGTACCCTAACTAGGAAGAGCGGGGTCTCCTAGCACAAGCAATTAGTTTGCTTAAAAGGAGTTCCCCTGCAAACTTGCTGTAAACTAGGTTTAAGAAAACGTAAATAAACACTTTTTATTATTTTATATAGTGGAAGCAGATTCACCTTAAGCCCACGTCATACTTAGCAGCAGCCTTCAACGTACGTGATACAATGATATAGATTCATTTGCGTCTAATTGCAAAGATAAAAAAGGTAAGAAAGTGGGTGCCGTATGACCTCACTGAACAACAACAACAAAATCGCGTCATAGCTTACTTAGCTTGTTGAATAGGCACTGAAACGTGGGGATTCTGAAGTGGATTGTCACTTGTGATGAAAAGTAGAACTAGAATGATAATAGCAAACGTCAGTCGTACTGGTTCGCGAAAGGGGCGTCAGCCAAACCATGCCCCAAACGCAAATTGAGTCTAAAGAAGTTGCTTTTGATGATAGACCAGCTCGCTGTCAAACAACCGAGACTTGTCAATTGCTCTAGTCCACTCCTCCGTCCATACATCGGACCTTCTGAAGACTACAGGAGTTAAGACTGGACACTCCATCACCCACCATACTCACCAGACCATGCTCTAATTGATTTTATTTTTCTTTCGGACTTTGGATAACTTTTTACAGGGAAAAAATTTCAAATCTGATGAGCTGACAGCTCACTGATTTCTATCCCCAGGATTTCTATAGCAGAGGCTTCCATGTACTTCCTTTAAAATGGCAACAGTGCATCTATAATAATGGTCAATACTTGGCTTAATTAAATACATATTTTTCATAATTTTTTTTTCAATTCGCTTTATATGTATAAAAACGGCAATTTCATAGGGAAGGACCTAATATTATGTGAAATGACAACATTATTCTTATGGTCACGTAAATGCCCAATGTACATAATAAAAATATCGCATTCAAGTTTACAGTTACATACTCCACATGACCACGAATAGGTACCCAGAAAAATGAGTACCTATATCAGGCGCAGGCGCTGAAGTACATTCAGTAAGTGATATTTACCAAATGTACGCCAAATGGAGCGTTTAGCACTTTTCTTATAGTATTTAGGAGGATAGGGTGAGGATTGGGAATTTCACAAGACTTCGAATAGTTTCGAGGTTTCCTCGTCAAACTAGTGTTGTGTGGTTTCTTTCACCATCGTCAAAGTTAGTGATGATGAGCTAATGACAATAGTGTAAGATGATTCAAACACCTGCAGTGATTTTCATTTAGTTGGTAAGTAAAAAAATGCATATGATTCATATGATTTCAATTTTGTTGACAATTAATAATAATGTGCCAGACAATTACATCAATTGCCTGCATTAAAACTAGGGGATTCCTATGATACCCTGTACTCTGGGACGCTTCCCAGGACACCCAGACCAGAACCAATTTAAAAAAGTTCGTTTCCCAAATTGGTCCTACCGGGAATCGAACACGGGACCTCCTCATCCAGTGCCCATCGTGTAAACCGCTGGGCCATCGATGGAAACTGCAAATATTTTAAACATGAGCAGTCAGTATCTTTCTATATAAATTTTGTTTATAGTGGCCCTCCTAATCAACTTCTTGGTTATAGGGGAAGGACACTATAACCTGTGTAAGCAAGCTCGCACAGGGGTTTTCACAGTCAGGTCCTGACCCCAGATCAGTACATTTGCACAGACTTCATTCGGTTCTCAAAAGGCTAGGGCCTTCGGTGGGCTGCCTCTGGTGCACGTATAGCACTCTCTCCCTAGTTTCCTTAGACTGGTAATCAGTCTCTAAAAAAACAGTTTGATCAATCTTTTTGTTTTAACCTTAAGACATCTACTCTTTTTGTGAAGAGAAAATAAAGCACCATTTCATTCATTCATTAATTCATTTTCCAGATAGGTACCGAAGCTGTAGGCACGCTCACTTCCCGTTGTGCATTGCGCAACTAACGGTTGCCACCGTTAAACAAACATGAGCAGTGATTTTCAGTTACTTGTAATTAAAGCAAGTGTTAATTACTTAATTGAACCTCATCCATCAGCATCAACGACACGTTCATACGTCCCACTGCTTGACAAGAGTCTCCTCACAGGTAAAAGTTTAGACCACAGTCCGCTATTCTGGCCAAATGCAGATTGGAAATTTCACACGTTCATCACAATGTTGTCGTTCACCGAAAAGGTCATGGTAAGTTTAAAATTTAATTTCGCACATAAATTTCGAGAAACTAAGAGGTGCGAGGCCGGATTCGAACCCACGACCCTATGCTTGACAGGCAGTAGGTCAAACCATTAGGTTACCAAGGCTTTTATTAACCTCGACAAGAGTCATATATACACTGAAGAATTTAAAATTTGTTCATAAAATATCGCCGAAGGAGAGCAAGCCTGGACCTCCTGAGATATGGACTAGCTTGAGTATGGAAGAGAGTGCTTTCTCAACAATGTTATTGTTACGGGTAAAGTTCACAGGATGTGCAAAGTTCGTACTGCCCGGGCAGTGTCATTTTGCACAAAGCCTATGTGTAAAGTTTGCAAAGATCGATTAAGTATTATAGCGAGACTTGCCCTTTCAATAATGGGGAATGGCAATAATGTACGATCGCCTAACTATGTGTAAGGTTTAATGACTATGCTAACAAACTTCACAAAAGTGCTAGATTCTGGTTTTGTCTTTTAAGCGTTGATAAAAGTAACCATTTTACAATAAATCTCAAAAATTCGGTCAGTAAGGCTTAACTCACACTGGCGCAGAGTCGGAACGTCGCGACGCGTCATGTTTTTCGCCTATTGCATATTCATTTCTATTTTCCCATTATTAAGGTACAAATTTGTGTTTTGCAAATATGGAATCGAGGGTCGATGCGCGTCGACGCTTGGTAGCATTCGAGGGGCTTCGCGCGTCGACGTGGGTCGTCGTGCGTCTCTTGGGCGCCTTGAGGCGGTGTAGTTGAAAAACAGCACGCGACGCAAAGCATCGACTCTGCGCCAGTGTGAGTTGAGACTAACAGTCACTTTTCTGCTTGGCAGTAACAGGTATAGTGGGCTTATTTCTTGGACGAGCTCTTTCGCAAGGACCTCTACTGCTACAATAATTGAGGCTTTCAACGCAAAAGTGGTGTAAGGCCACGGACAAGGCGCAGCACACCCTGGTGGTATGTGCGGTTTGGGGCCCTCAGCGGCACTTCCTGACTGCCAAAGTGGGAGGAGATCTCTCGCTGCCGAGTATTGCGCCCACGATAGATAGATACTGGGAGGCTATGGTCTCCTTTTGCGAGAGCAGAAGGAGGCTGCGGAGCGCTTCAGAGAGCGATCCCCTCTCTGATCCGCTTCGAAGACGCTGGGGCGACGAAGGAGGCAGTACGCCCGCCTTCTTCCCCCGCTTTAGATTGGGGTCGGAGGACCCCTTCCACCAAGACTAAGGTGCCCGGGGCATTCTCCAAACGACTGGGCCCGCTCCATGCGGGCCATCCGCCGAGACGTCCCTGTCGCATACTACAGGAATCGAAGCGAATCTTGGGGCGTCTCTCTATGGCGGTGGAGTTAACTGCTGGGTTTTAGTGGGTATACGGGACTACCGCCCGGGAGTCCCGTATAACCGCTCGATGCTCGACAAAAAAAAGGGTTTCAAAGAAAAAACATTTTTCTCTCAAAATTACTTTCGAGGTTATGAAAATTAGAGCTAACGTTATTTCTGGAAAATGTCGTTTCGGACTACTGATAGTAACCATGTATTTGATATTAAAGCGGAATTAATTGCTATCCACGGCCATTTACATAATATAAACTGCTAAAAGATTTTGATAAAAGTTTTGGTACAAATCCGCACCACGCCGTGGAAATACTGAGTTTAGATTCAAATTGCATAATAAATTAATCATTGGTTTTAAGAAACGAAATTGATGACATACTAAAGAAGACTGAACATCACAAAATGATTGATTATAATAACAACTTTAAGAACTTGGTAGAATGTAAGATGGTCTTGATCACAGATATCCAATAACACATATATTAATTGACTGTGGCATCTTTGCTTGGTCCGCGCCAAATGATAAAGGTTGATTTATACAATGTTTAAGCATTTTTTTAAACACCTGAAAAATATGGATCTACTACGTGAGTGCGAATGCTGATTGCGCGAATGACGATAGTGCGAAAACAGATTTGCGAAAGCTGGAAGGCAAGTTAATTGTTGCAAGTATTCCCTGATAAACTTTTACAAAAGCAAACGTGTACTTTATTATGAAAGCTTTGCATTGCAAAGAATTGCAACAACTTGCAACCGTCAAATCTGTCTTCGTACTATCGTCTTTCGCGCAAATGAACTATGGCGCATTCAAACTTTCGCGCAACTGACCATTCGAGCAAATCAACTATCGCGCATTTAAGCTTTTTGCGTAAACGTCTTCGCACTATCGGCATTCGCACCCGAAAAATATACGCCACGTCGATCACACTGCCGTCGCCAGTCGAAAAACCATCAGACGCCGCCGCCGATAATTTTACAATCGGCGCACGCGTTTAGAATGTACATTAGCAGTCCTCTCGTGTTATTGGTCCTTGGTTACACTTACCTGTTTCTGTCTCCTTTACAAAAACCTTGTAAGGTAACATCAGCTGTTTAGCGAGAAACGGGATGTATTTTGCAAAATCAAGCGGTGATACTTGTAGTTGAAAAGGCGTTCGGTTTGAATCTTCCCCTTTCAATTCTATACAGGATTTAAATTCCATTGGTCTTCTTGGCATAATTTCTCTCGCGTCATTTACATTTTGACGAGTTGTCTCGCGTTTTTTCATTTTGTGATTCAGTTGTTGATGCGTTTATTACGATTTATATCTATTTATGTGGATATTCTAAAATAAATATTTTATGTAGATTATTATTATTTCCTTTATGGCGGCCAACTATGCTTGGGCCAGTGTTAGTCTAAAAATACAATATAAAAATTATGGCGATCATCGCCAGTGTCAGAATAAATTGAAAATGTATACAACAAATGTCATTATTGACACCTTATTATAAATAAAAAAAGAAGCAAAAACGAAAACGTTCTTTATGGTGCAGAGTTTTCTGGCTGCACAGAGAATATGATTTTTTAACCAATTTAAACGATTTGTGTTCCTCAACTTGACATTGGCGAAATCATCGATTACTTTGATGGGGCCATAACATTTAAAAGAAGAAGAAGAAGTAACCGACTTGAAAACAGGAGGAAGTTCTCAATTGACGTGATGTCTATATCGTATGATACCAAGTCACGGGATAAACAAGTGGTGCAGCTGGTGGTAAGCGACACGACGTTGCAGTGCTATTCAAAGCTTTAAATCACAAAGATCTGAGGGGCAATGCCATTCTGCGCCCATTACCCAGAGACTTAAGTTGAAAGTCCCATTGTAACGGAACGTTACAACGTTGTTCAATTATATTTGAATAAATCGTTTTTTAAATTTAACAGTATTAAACATTGAATACAAATATTTCTTCAACAAATATATCATATTTTTAAATAATGATTGGTTACAAAACATTAAAACCACGAGTCACCATAGACAAAGTTGGTTAAATGTATGGCAATTTACGTTGCATTTTCGAAAGATGACGGACACAGAGTGGAGGGAGGCGGGGTAACCGGCCCCGGCGCCCTGCCCGCCTGGCAGACAGCGTTAGAACGTCTTCAGAGCCAGTCCAAGCTCGGCTTGGCCGCGATCCCGATATAAAAAATCCGTTACGTAATTTTAAACATAATAATTTTTATTGTAAATCGAAGATTATAGGTGCCTGTAGTTTTACCAGTACAAACAATGTTTTTTTAACCCAGAGCTAACATCAGAGAGCGCGGTAGATCGTCGCAGCGCTGGATGGACGACATCCGATGACACGGAGGTCGGGACTGGATGAGTCGGGTACAAGATCACCAAGAGTGGAAGAAGAGGCAAGAGGCCTATACCCAAGATTGGATAACATAATCCCAGTACAGAGTACTAAAGCCGACCTCAAAAGTTTGTGGAGTTACATCTATTTGCCAAGTTTTATTGAAATTGGTTATCGGTTTGCCACTATACGGGACTTGATACAGGAAACTTTAGTAGCAGTAGAGCTCCTTGTGAAAGAGTTCGTCCAGGATAGTACTGCCACTTTACCTATTTCCGCCGCCAAGCAGTAATGTCAGCATTACTGTATTTCGGTTTTGAAGGGAATTTATTTTATACAAAAAGTAATAAAATCGCTTCTCACTGCCTATAGTACATAATATTGAGAAAGATAAACGCCTTGAATTGGAGAATAGCAAAATCAACCATTAAAATAATTGCTCCTTATAATACCACTTAGGCGCTATTTTTAAAAATCACTCTTCATGCATGAACAACAGCCACTCTTAGAAGTGGATGATTTTCTTCAAAACTAAATGGGACCACTATGGAGGTACCCTCTTTCCAACAAAAAAAGATCATCAAAATAGGTTCGCTAATGCCGGCCGGAGATTCTGCGTAACAGACATACAAAAAAAGCCATACAGTAGAATTAACAACCTCCTCCATTTTTTGAAGTCGGTTGAAAACGGCATGATGATGATTTTTAACACTACTAGCATCAACGAACAATATTGATATGAGTCGCAGTCCACATACACATACTTGAAACCGTACTTAAATACTTCAAAAAAGAAGGAGGTTCCCAATTCGAATTGAAAAAAAAAAGAACATACAGTCGACTGTATTTTTAAAGGTATGTACGTTCAAACCTTTTCGTTTTCCATCAAGAGCTTTATATGAATATTGTGAGGTGCTCACAGTACGCCAGCTCTTTGTTCTCCAAACCATACTACGACAACACACTGCCCCTCCGAGTATATACTTTTCTTCATTGCAATACGGTAGACGTATGAATGTCATTTCCCGAAGAGTTATTTGCAAAACTTCTTTCAGCCTAAAAGTCTTTTACTTTTTGGGACGATTCTTATACGACAAAAGTAATAATATTTTAGCGTTTCATCTAAAAAATGAATATAAGTGTAAGAATATGATAACCAAATGGCTTCAATAAAACTGTCATATGAAGAAACAGAAAATCTTCTTCATGCAGCTCATTGAAGTATTTTTCACATGAAATACGCACACACACACACGCATGCACGCACGCACGCACGCAAGCACGCACGCACGCACGCACGCACGCAAGCACGCACGCATGCACGCACGCACCACGCACGCACGCACGCATAATGTATAAATAAAATAACGTAATAAATTGTAAATTTTACTACGCCATTGGAAGGTTTGCTGGTACTTATAACACAGGACTTCCTTTTTTAAGTACCAGCGGTCGTATCTACTAATTCTTTGATACTTACTTACTGTACATGCATGTTGTATTATTATTATGGCAAATAAATTTAATTTTATTATTATTATTATTCTTATTGCCGTTAATGCCGTTATCTTTCTTTTGTATGTATGTTCAGCGATAATGGCATTTATGAACCGGTTTTGATGATTTTCTTTTTTGATTGATTTTCTTTAAAGAGGGTACCTCAGTAGTGGTCCCATTTAAATTTGAAGAAAATATTCCACCTTTAAGGGTGGCAAACTAGGGGATGAATAACTTTTAAGGTTGGTTTTTTAGTATTCTGTACTGAGATCTTTTATTTTTAAATACATTTATTTGGCAAGTGGGAAATTGTTTAGATGTATGTAGTAAACTTTATCCTATACATAAATTGTATGACATTTTAAGGAAAGTGAGTAATTGGTTTTGCATAGATTCTGAAACAATTAACTTTTAGAGTTAATACACTAATAGTATTAACAGTGTTATATGTATAAATAAAGGACTTAATAAAAAATTGTACCATTTACAGCTCTATGAAATTTATTTCTTGGGTATAGCAAACTAGTCCATAATACTTCAGCTTGGATTCAAATTTTTCCCGTACTTGTGTCGAGCGGAAGGTAGACTGGCTTTATTTTAGAATTAATTTTTTTACAGACGAAATTATAACCATTTCAAAAATATATAACAATACTTCACGTGTTCTGTTCAGTTCAGTTGATATAAAAAAAAAATCATTGCTATATGTAAGGTACCTATGCAATACACCGGTTTTCTTGTAAAATTTCGAGGTAAGTTTGTGTTTTTTTTTCAATCGTGAACATTTTTACGAATATTGTTTTTCACACCGTATAGTAATCAGTGTATGTTCTCGATTGTACTGTGGATTTTGTTCAAATTGATTCAACACTTTCACTGTTATGCGGTATCAACCAACGCCATTTGAGGTTGTGGGCCATACAATCTTAATTTTGTATTCAAAAAGCCAGCGGTGCCGATACCGGACATTGGATTAAACGTCACGTAGCAAAAATGCTATTTACGTTATAACGTTCAATGTTATGAGTTTCATGTCATAAAAGCATTTTTGACGTATAATCACATATGATTTTATTATACCTAGGATGTAATTTGTGACTACTTTATGTAAGGTAAGCAAATAACGTTCAAAGTAGTCGTTATTGAAAAACGGTATAGAAAAGTTTTGGTTTTTTTTTTATAAAATACAAGTGCGTATTTGACCTCCATTTCACCTGATGGAAAGTGATGATGAGGTCGACGATGGAGCATGCACACCTAAATAATGCCTATTCATTCTCGCCTTGAAAAGACCCAAGTTATAACGTTCATGGAACAAGTCTGCAGGCAGGGATTTCCACCCCATAGTCGTTCGCCACATGGAAGCGTAACGCTTCGTGCGAATCTTTGGAATATCCACAACATAGGGGTGGAACCCAAGCCTACGCCTAGTCCCCCGGTGATGGAAAGGGGAAGGCGGAATTAAACCGTGTAATTCCATCGCACACTCTCCGTGACATATCCTGTAAAATACTGATAAGCAGGCAACTTTACGGTGGTGTTCAAGGCTCTGCAGCTTCGCCTCCACTAATTTCGAGCCACCTATAAGCCTCTTGTCACGGTTGTCAATTGAATCCAAAGTGGCCAGTTGATATGTAGCAGAGCCATCCCAAAGGTGGCAGCAGTACTCCATGCACGATCGGACTTGTGCTTAAACTCAAACTCAAACTCAAAATAATCTTTATTTCATAGGTAAGCATTATTACACTTGAAATCGTCACAATGGTTAAACTCTACCGCTCATTCGTAAGGCAGATTCCCCTGAGAAGAATGAGCAAGAAACTCTAGGGGTTGCTCTTTGTAAATAGCATTTACAATATTTTTTTATTTTTATTTGAAACATCAGAGATCGAGACTACCTCCATGAGCTAAACGGGTTACTACCACGGATTTTTGTCATCCAAGTACGCAGAAGTTGTATAATAACCTTTAGTATAAAGTTTTTGTTTCACTATAGTTTTAAACCTCGTGAAAGGCAAATTTTGTATATCAACCGGAATCTTGTTATAGAAGCGTATACATTGCCCCTTAAATGATTTTTTGACTTTGTGAAGACGACTATCAAGAAAAGCTAGTTTATTTCTATTCCTCGTATTAATGTTATGTCTGTTACTATTTTTCATAAATAAATTACTATTCCTTTTAACATAAATTACATTTTCATAAATGTACTGTGAGGCTAGTGTAAGAATGTTAATTTCCTTAAACTTATCTCTCAAAGATACTTTGGGGCCCAGATTGTAAATTGCCCTAACTGCACGTTTCTGCAGGACAAAGATTCTATTGATATCAGCGGCATTACCCCAAAGCAAAATGCCGTATGTCATTAGACTGTGAAAGTAACTGAAGTAAACCAATCTAGCGGTTTCGACGTCTGAAAGTTTCCTTATTTTTTTAATCGCGTACACTGCAGAGCCGAGCCGTTTTGATAACTTACTTATATGGGGACCCCATTGCAATTTAGCATCTAACGTTATACCCAGAAATACAACTGTATCCACAAGA